AAGAGATACAGAGTGACACGGTGTGACACGGTGAATTGTTGCATTCTTGTTGTTCGCCAATGGGTGCATTCAGTACCACGACCGCTCACTGAGCGCTCAGTGAGCTCTTGTATTTGTTTGATCTATATTTTTAGTTCTAACGGAATATGCCAATAAGATGCAAGCGCTCACTATGTGTATTTCATGTGAAATGGGTTTTAACATGGTAGAAATACGTAAAGCTGGTTCTATATTAATGCATCGCAGCGTCGCAAGCGTTGCGGTCCAATCAACAACAAGCTAGACTCTGATTGGACTGCAACGCTTGCGACGCTGCGATACAACTAATGTAGAACCAGCTTAAGGTAAGCTATTCCCATGGATACGCAATAGGAGAATGAATTTGGATAACATTTGATTGGTTATTCCAGTATAACCAGCGCTATACCAGTGTACACCAGAAAGTATATGTTGGAACATATTTGATTGGTTATTTCCAGTATTGCTACCACCATTATGCTCAATAACTCACCTTATGTATTTCCACCAAGGGTTTTAGAATTTTAACGTATATAATACACGTTTTATACGTTTTATACATAGGAAATGTAAAAAACCTCTCGCAATGTTAAATTTCCCAAACCTGGTGATTCATCAATATAATTCCTACTCTTAGATCCAGTGAAGAACTAAAAGCAAGAACCAATCATATTAAAGAATCACTAAGCGCTAACTGATTAGTTTTCTCTGCTGAACGCAGCCATTGTAGATTAACTTTAATCTCGGTTCAACTTAGGCCGGAATCAGACTACGCATTGAAGATTGAGGTTGAAGACTGAAATTTGACCAATGAGGACAAAGAAATTTTAGTTCCTTTCGTTTCGATTGGTCAAATTTGAATTTTTCAATCTTCAATCTCAATCTTCAATGCATAGTCTGATTCCGGCCTTACTCTTCGTCCTTTTCTAATCTTTAGAACTAGAAAAAGATGAAGAGTAAGTTGAACCGAGATTAAAATTAATCTATGGCTGCGGTCCACTTGATGCTACAAACGCTTCAAAGCATTCTTCGATTAATCAATTCGTAAAATTCTTTGTTCTGATTCGTCGCTCAAACACTTCGAAGTGTTTGTAGCGTCAAGTGGACCGCAGCCTATATTGGTGGAAACGGGCATTAGGGTCACTTTTACTAACTCCAATTAACTTAATCGGTCGATTAAAGTTGATAAAAGTAGCCTTAAAAGTGGTCCTAAGGCCGATATTCATAGTCAAATCTTATTTTAAGACCGTCTTAAATATTGGCTGCGTTCAGCAGAACGTTTGTTTTGCAACTGTTGGAAATTTCCTTCGCGCTAATTGGATCATACTTTTAGATCTAGAAGAATGGTCCTATCTCAGCAGACAATCATAAAACGGTTGCAAAACTGTTGAGTCTGCTGAACGCAGCCAATGTCTTAAGATGCTAATACAGCCCTCTGATTGGTTCGTGACATCTCAAGACTGAACTTAAGACGGTCTTGAATATAAGAACTGACTATGAATACCGACCTAAAAGTGGCTTTTTAGTGGCCCTCGACATGGCAAAAAATCGCACGATGCATCGTAAATTCCCTCTCTAGTCTCGCTCGCTTGCCTGCTGACTCGATGTCAACATCGAGACCGGAGTGTTCACAGTTCAATCTGATTCCGGGGGGTCGGCCATCTGCTGTAACCACAGCCAGAGCCACGTCATATTTGCGTGCCGCTGTCGAACGAGCTGCGAGCTGGCTCTTTATCTTCCCCCGCGAGTTTTTTTTACGTAAAGTCACATCCCCGCGACCGCTGATATGAATATATTCCGATTGCTGGGCGATCTATCGCATCTTTTAGCCATTATCATACTACTCCTAAAGATATGGAAGACACGGAGCTGCGCCGGTGAGTCGGATCGCTTTGATCATATCGTTCAAGGAACGTTAGTGTACGTGACGAGTTTAATGTGTGGCGAGCGAACGCTGATAAAGGCTCATCTTAAACAGACAGAGATTATCGATGTTTCAACGTTTGTAGGTATTAGCGGCAAATCGCAGATTCTCTTCGCTATTGTTTATACTACCCGTTATCTAGACCTGTTCACCACATTCATCTCAGCATACAACACGTTCATGAAGATCGTATTCATCGCCGCATCTCTCGCCACGATCTTCTTGATGTATGTTAAGTTCAAAGCTACGTACGATCATAATCATGACACGTTCAGGTAAGACTTCAAAATCTGTCAACAGGTCTGTCATTCTTTTTAGTTAAACTTCTTGCACGGTTTATCTTTTCTCCTTTTAACTTGGTTTATGGAGGCTGAAACCAATAAACTCCAAGATAATGATTTCGATGTTTTCGTTCATGTGATCATTATCACTGAATGAAGAAAATCATTGAAATCATTGTATTAAACTCTCTTTACCAGTTGTGGCATAAAACGAAGCCTGTTCTTTTTAACTGAACTTCTTGCAAGATTCATCTTCTTTTTCTTTTCACGTTGGAAAGAAAAAGAGAAAAACTGCGAGTTCAGCTAAAAAGAACAGATCTATAACTTCCGTAAACCAGACTTTTCTCTCTATGCCTATTTTTATTAACATAGATTAACTTTAACTCAGTTCAACTTCTTATCTGGTTCGCAGAATCAGAAAGATAAAAAGTAAGTTAAACTAAAATTAAAATTGATCTACATTGGTAGAAATGGGCATCCAGTTTCACCAATGTTAAGATTAACTTCAATCTCAGTTCAATTTATTCTTGATCTTTTTCTAATTCTAAAAATTAAGGATAAATAGTAAATTAAATTGATTAAAGTTAATCTTACATTGATGGAATTGGGTCTAATGTCCATTTATACCAATGTAATTGTAATTTTAATTTTGGTTCAACTAGCTCTTCGTCTTTTTCTAGTTTCAAGAATTAGAAAAAGATAAAAAGTAAATTGAACTGAGATTAAAGTTAATCTATGTTGATAGAAACAGTCATAAATCAAAGAAGAAAAGATGAATGGTGTAAGTTTAGTTAAAAAGACCAGACTTAAAATGATGTTCCTCAGTTGCTATTTTCATTGGGACGATGAACTTTCTTATTTCAGGATCGAGTTTCTGATTTTACCAGCATTTATACTAGCACTGCTGATCAATCACGAACTGTCCTTCATCGAGGTCTTGTGGACGTTCAGCATTTATCTAGAGTCAGTGGCAATATTACCGCAGTTGTTCCTGGTATCGAAAACAGGCGAGGCAGAAAGCATTACCAGCCATTATTTGTTCGCATTAGGATCATACAGAGGCCTGTATCTGTTCAACTGGGTCTACCGCTACTATGCTGAAGATCATTACGATTTGATCGCTATAGTCGCCGGATTGGTGCAAACAGTTCTCTATTGTGACTTTTTCTACCTCTATATTACCAAAGTACTCAAAGGCAAGAAGCTACAACTACCTGCTTAGCTTCAGTTGAAAGTATTATCCTCTTGTATTGGAAAATTTTTCAACTGTCTCTGTGGCATCGCCAATTTGAGATAAATTCGGGCAATCCTGGGAGGCTTGTGAAACGTGCACGACGATGCACATTTCCACTAAGTATGAATTGTCTGGCATCCCCTTTCCACAAACTTTCTTCCTTCCTTCCATCACCCCTCGTACGATGCCATGTGTTGCGTCTCCTTTTCAGGATCAGAAAATCTAAGTTGCCTTTACTGTTTTATTTTGCGTACTTCATTTCAGAAAATGTACATTACCACATAAGATCGAGTTAGCTACTTATCTTCAAATTCAGAAAAATTCACAAAATAGGGGTAAAAGAGGAGAGAACATAGAATCAGAATTTTCATTTATATTTATAGTTTATATCGTTGTAACTGTCAGTAATAAATATAGTTAATAATTAAATATAAAGTTACATGATAGCAATATCTTATGAACATTGATCGAGAAATCCAGTTGAATTGCCACTACGGTAATTCAAGAAAAACGCAAACTAACATACTTTACCAAGTCAGTAATGTGAACTGCCTCACTAAGCGTCGTTGATCGACTTTTTACATGTACAACGCCATTCTTAAGACTAGTCTTATCCACTGACACGACGTACGGTATTAGGCACATTTCTACGATTTGTTCTGTATTTGTCAATATGGTAGAGATCCCTTTTGTTCTAAGCATATTGTTTAAGTATAGCACAAAGCGATTCAAGTCTTCTATATCTGTATCAGTCTCATTATCCTGTTTCCCTATGTGGAACGTGATTTTGTATGGGCATAACATAGGATGAATATAGGCTCTAGTTGATTTATTCAGCATATGGCTGTCACAGAGTAACGCCAAGCAGCCCCAATCCATGGAAGCGATATGCTCGACCATGTGCACATCCATAACATTATCTTTATTATTTTCAGTCTGTAAATAAATATCCCATTTAAATAATTCTCTCTCTATCTTTCATAATGCTACCGACATTTTAATAAGAAAGCGTTATACCTGAGGATACAACTTGCGTACGCCGGGATAATAGGTGATAGTTTCCACAATGATATTTCCAAAAGGAAACTGCGCCTCTATCTCCGTCACATCTAGATTTCTCGTCTTCTTTGCCTCGGCGAGGACGAATCTCGAGGGATGCTGGACAAGTTTGCGCCACCATACTTTGCGCTCTCTTTGCTTCTTATGCAGCAGATCCTTCGAGTCCGACGCATCAACGAACACGTTAATCTTGGCGATTCTGTGGGATGGTATTTTACCCACTGACAGCAGAGACTCGTTCCACACGCTCTTGGACGTCCCCAGTGTGACGAGTGCAAATGGCAGCATGTCCATCGAGTTGTTCCGTAATTGCTGCAACGTATCTGCGATTGTGTCACATGGGAATACATTATAATGCGGCATTGTGACGCAGTGAGAGAACCAGTGTTCCTCGAGGTTCCTCAGCAGCAGCTTGCCCTGGGGTCCGTACACGAACATCCGTTCAGACAGACTGAGGAAGTGCGACCCGACAGTCTTCAGTATAGCCTCCAGACTCATTGTTTAGACTCACTTTCTTTCTTCTTGCTCGTCGTCAGCGGTGCGACAAAGTATTCTCCTTCCAGCACCGCGGCGTTCCTCAGTATCTCGCGCCGATCGACGTCGTGTCGCACCACGTCGTCCCGCAGATGAATGCAATCGTTCTCCAGGGTGCTGTACATCGGACGTACCGTCTCGTCAATGTGGACCGTCCGCAGCCGCTCGGCAAAAGCTATTGCTTCCTCCAGCACTCGCTTGCTTTGCTTGAATTCGAAGCCGACCAACGCCAACCTCTCGAGCCTCCTGATCGTTGCCTCGTCGATAGACGATCTCTTGTCACCGCCAAACCGGCTGTCGTTATTGTCCTTCACTTCGTTATTGTTCTCTGATTTTTGTTGTTGTTGTTGTCTCGCGAGTACCGTCGAAGAGTTGAATGTTCTGAAAGATGGAACAGCGTTACTTCGACGCAGAAAGATAACACCTTCGTCAAAGAGTCTGTATGCTGGTTTGATTCGTCGCAACAAAGTCATACTCGACGACGACCTATCGATTTGATTTGACAATCAGATCCGACTCCTTTTTTTTTTTTTTTTTCAAGATTTCGAAGCCTCAGATCTCGATGCGTGTCCTATTTTTTTTCGATTCCTTTCAGACACTCTCTACGTTTGTAACCTTTTGTCTTCTCCTTCAAGTGCACGTGCACGTCTTCTTGCGTTCTTGAATTAATGGCACCTGTTCCTAGAGAAATACAAACTGGGGTCAATACGGCCAGAACAAGTAGCCTGACGTGCAGAAGAGCAAAGAAAGGAGTAATGTGGAGTAACGTATTCTCACGTGCACGTATTTTCACTTTTGGCTGTTCCTTATGTAGGATTCACATTTCATGTAGCATACAACATCCGACGTACGACGTCCAATGTCCAATAGGATTATAGGAGAAGCAAGGTTGGCAAGTAACGCGTTACTTGTAACGCCGTTACTTTGTTGATCGTTACCTTGTTATAATAACAATTTGATAATGACATTGTGAATTTTTTATGATGGTAATGCTAACATCAGAGTTAGAAAAGTCAATCGTTACTTATAATGGATTGAAAAAGTCATTCGTTACTGAAAAAAATAACTCCTAATTTGTAACGCGTTACTTTTTAGTAACGAGTAACGTTACGCGTAACGTTACGCGTTACTCGTTATACTTATAATTTTTTCGGTGTAACGCATAATAATGACAAGTTACTTTTGGAAGTGACTTTTCTAACTTTAGTACAATCTTAGCGTTTAGTTAGTTAGCGTTATCGTCATAAAAAATTGCAACATCGTCATCAAATTACTATAAAAAGTAACGACAAAGTAACTGAAAAGTAACGTTTGCCAACCCTGAGGAGAAGTTTCCTAAAGACAAAAATGTCGCTAACTAGAACCATAATATAGGCTACGTTTACACCGTGCATTTAGGCCGCGGCCTATACAATAGATGTCCTTGTTTATCCTGTTAAAGAAAGACACCTATCGTATAAGTCGCGGACTAAGCGCACGATGTAAACGTAACCATAAAGCCCGTTCTACAATAGCCTTCATATACAATCGTAAGCCATAAAAAATGATCTAATCATACTCGATTGTTTTCTTCAACTGTGATTAACCAATTTCTTATGGCTTACAACTTGTGATCCTATTATAGGCTA